AGCATTCACATAGGAGAGAACAACCACTTGTTTTCTGAAAGTGATAAAGTCTTCTCACAGGAATCAGACTTCACTATAAGTAGACACACCACACTGAAGAGATCCATATAAATGTATTACATGTGAGAAACACTTCAACAAGAATTTGCTCAAACTGGACGAGTGAAAATTGATTCCCAAGAGAAACTCTTAACAATGCCTGGCTGAAGGGACCTTTTCTTATTTGCACCAGTCTCACTGAGTATCACACTTTTCTTTTGACAGTTTAATGCATTAGAAAGAGCCTTCCTGTAGAACATACTAAAATTTGCATTTCTTTACATATTATTGAGGTTATTATTGGCAAAGTGTAGTTATTCATCTACGAACTACTTGTTCTAAACTCTTACCTATTTTTCTTATGGGTTCTCTTTAATTGATTTCTACAATTCTGAATATATTATGGATATTAGCCACTCATTTGTTATGCACTGCAATAATTTTATTTTAGCTTTCATTATAGTATTATTTACAATAGGGACAGTATTGATTAATCCAAGTTACAAATAATAGTTTTCCTCCAAGAAAGCTAAAAGTAGGTAATGCAAATTCCAGTGAGAATTAATAAAATCAGAAAACCAACAGAATATATTTTAAACATAAGTATGCTATTCTACTCAACAGAATGCATAAAATACTTTCAGGCAAAAATTAGACATCAGAGGTCAAAACCTTATGACAGTTCAGAGAACTTTAAGACAGCCAACCTTAAAAGCATGTCTTTGTAATTTAGGGAAGAGATTGACTAATTATATAAGGTAAATATTCTTTCTATGTCGTGAGTTCATTAAATTTGTGAAGAAGAAAATGATGACATGCCCACTAAACATGCACTACATTGGTTTTTCCCTAAAGGTTGGCATCTGTTGCCAGTCTTTTCCTCCTCCTCTTCCCTTCCCCCTCCTTCTTCTTCTTCTTCTCTCCAAAGCCTCCCCAGTACATAGTTGTACATTGCAGTTGTGGTCCTTCTGGTTGTGCTATGTGGGATGCCACCTCAGCATGGCCTGATGAGCAGTGCTAGGTCTGCGCCCAAGATCCAAACCGGCAAAACCCTGGGCTGCTGAAGCAGAGCGCGCAAACTTAACCACTCAGCCACTGGGCCAGCCCCTGCACTATATTCTTAATACCTTTTCACTGAAGTCTCACTTTCTGAGTGTTAGCTGCATCGGCTTCCAAAACATCTGGCAGGTATTGCACTGGATGACCAAAGAAGACCATGTCCTGGAGCTGGGGAGCCTGGGTGCTGCCACCACTCTTCCCGCTGAATACAGCTTAACAGAACCAGCTGGGACACAGCTGCAGCCCAGCTGTCACCTTCGATTTCCTATGGCGGCACTAAAAACAATCACCCCAGCTTGGTCACATGATAGTTAAATCTGAATTGCTACAGCTATGACTCACAACATTAAAAATTTAAATTTGCCAAGAATTCAGAAAGATTATCTGCATAAAGAATTATGTTTGTAGCTGTGTCATCACATATCCTTGTGCACATATTGTCATTTCATCTGAAGTCAGGTAGACAAAAGGATTGATCATATTTTGTGGAGGGGATAAATATTATATTGGCCAAATGAAGGAGAGAAATATATTATTAAGGCCTATTACTAACATAAATGACTTTAACAGCAAGTAATCATCACATCAACACTCAGAAAAACACTTTTCTCAGCACAGCTGATCAGACCACAAGCTCTGAAGAGCAGGGGACGCAGCTCACCAATTTTTCTGACATCAGTCCTGGCACATAACAAGTACTCAATAAAGGTTTTCTGAATGAAAGCGAAAGGAAGCTGGGTAAGTTATATGATAGTAAAATGTCTTCTAATTAGGTGACATTGGGACAAGTCTGATGATTTCTTTACGTGATGCAGAGAAAGTAAGCGGTAGAATATTCCTAATTTCTATAGACTGTCATTTCTAGCCACGGCTCTCACAGAATAAGCGCTCGAGAACCTTCTGACCATAAAGAAGAAGATTTTGGTACCTACTCTGAAGCTTAACCAGGAGGAAAAGGAAGAAAGCATTCAGAGGAGTTAACCAGAAGCACTTCTAGAACTAAGAAGTAAATATTCTCACTAACAAAATCTCTGCTAAGTTCAAGGCTTACTTCAATGATGATCTCCGCTTCAGTCAGTGTCTTACTTAAATATGGGGAACCTTGCTGGTGTCCCTGACCTGATGCCTGCCCTACTTACTTTGGGGAACTTACACTGAAGGTAGGAGTTACAGTCTGATCACTGGGAGGCCATTAGCTCGTTCACATAGGTTATATGTAAATTTTATCAGAGAAGTGCGGAAAATAATCAAGATGTACTATTTTGCTAGCACTTTTCTCCTGGTCAGAGAAAATGCTGAATCTAAATTAGGGACTACTGGCATTTTAATCTTTTATTTACAAATGTAGCTTTATAGATGGGGAACTATGGGATCCCCAGGACATCCCTGTGACTCAGTTTGCAAATGTGTCCATGTGCTTGGCTGGTGAGACTGGATATGGTGCCTTTTGCTAGTCTCCTGGAGACCTGGGTTCAGATTCTGAGAGCAATGATCTGTTCTAGACTGTGGTAAGGTAGATAGACGGGGGGGGGGGGGGCTGTAGATGGGCACACTATGAACCATGTGGGTTCCTTACTCTCAGCCAAGGGAGAGGCTGTGGACCTGTAGTACGAATCAGAAAATAAAGAAGGTACTGAGAGAATAGCAAGCGAGACCTCAAAGGAGGCATTTGAGATTGTGCCTCAGTGAAGTATGGGAGACCACTGTTAAACGGGGTCAAAAACGTAAAAATTCAATGTAAGGAAAGGCCCCAGAGACAAGGCTGTATGAATGCAACATTATACTAGAATTCCTAACTGTGAACGCTAACTGGATTTCCTGTATGAGGTTATGCTAGCGAAAGGTTATGCTTCAATAGTAAAACCCCTAAAGGCTTCAAAAAAATTCCTTTAAAGGCAGTTATGTGTAACACTGCACCTGCCGTGGGAGGGCCCAGCAGAGGTCCTACTATGTGCGGGAGGGTTGGAAGATCGCAGAGTGAAGCTTTTTAGTGGGAGCAGGGCTTTAGGGTAAGCTATAGGAACACACGCACAAAATGAGCAATGAGGTCTCGGGGGCTGGGGAGCATCACACGGGGAACATAACTTGAGTGCCTGGAAAGTACAAAATACAGTCACAAATCAAAGGCTTAATAACATTGTAATGCTTATCACCACAGGTGACCATCTGCTTTGAGTCTATTATGAGATATAATTGCTCCCTTCTTGCTGGGAACCATTTCAGGGGACCCCGGTGGCACCTCTGGCAACCTGCCCAAGGTAGTCCTTCCCCTTTTGTATTTTGGCAGGAACGGAGAGGTACTGGGTAAGGGAAGTGGTTTCGTAGACTACCGAATTTGCAGTTTAACCAAAACCAAAGGACTCAGAATGGCATTGTAGTGAGGTTGTGCTCGATATACTTCTCAGAAAAGAGCGAACTGCCACCCATTTGCACATTTGATATGTGAAAAGAGGCCTTGAAAGCAGACACCTACTCACCAAGAGCAAATAGTAATTTAAGATGGATGAACTGAAAAGACATGCAACAGCACAACCACATGAGAGCTTTTGTGTATGTAAATTTGCTTGCTTTTTAAACCACTGCTATCCTCTTTCTGAAAACTTATGCCCAGCCTCTATTCTCTTCTAATAGAACCCAATCAGTTTCTGACAGCTCCTTCCCAAACAGCTGTCTTTCATTTAATTTCATTTGGTGAGCAAACCGTTTCAAGTTGCACGCACAAGCATACTGTGAAGAATTCATTTTCTTTAGTTTCCTGGCGACGATAAAAGAATTTAATAATAAAAAAAAAGTTGAACTTTGGCCTGAAATGTTGCTGTCCTGCCGCAATGGTGAATTATACAAGTGGAAGTGATCCAAAGGTTATTTGGTCCACCCCCTACCGTGAAAAAAGAGCCTACACAGATCCTTTCATGTAATTTTCTTACTTCTCCTTTTAAAATCTTGTAAGAAAAATTCTGCATTCTCACTAAATAAATTTGGTCCACCTTGATAATTTGAAGAATAAACTTCCCTAGGAATAAGTACGGGGGGAACAAAAAGGATATAGCACTCACAAACTGGAACAAGTCAGAATATAGAATTAAAAAACAAGTACGATCCTAGAATGCGTGTACAGGAGAATATTAGGGAAGACTTTTGTGAAGGAGCTGGGTTCTTGAAGGAGAGACACAGTACTGCACGATCGTTCAGAGCATGGGCTTTAGAGTTTAATAGCCACAGATTCAGATTCTACCAATGCTATTATAAGTTCTCTTATCTCAAAATGAGTATTAACAACAACATTTGTTGAGCTCTTGTTATATTTCAGGCACTATTCCAAGTGTTTTACATGTATTAATTAAAGAGAAGTGCTTACATTACAGTTGTATAGATTAAATAAAACAATGTACTTAAAGCACTTAGCACAACTCCTGTGTTCAATAAATGGTAATAGTTATTATTTCTACTTTTGCTCATGAAAACCTAAACTGACCATCAATAAGCTTTTGGCACCCAAAGACCTAAGAAAAGAAACTAAAATAAGTAATGCCACTTTGCTCTCTCCCTACTTCCCTTCCACCCAATGTAGGAAACAACCTAGAGACAGATGTGAGACAGGAAGGAAATCAGTTTTGTCCTTTTACCCAAGTAATAATGGTAAGAAGGAGGAGTATGGAATAGTATGAACACCTTCGATTTCTTTCAGGACAGTTAAGAATCTCCTCATCTCCACTTCTTTTCACCTCCCCACCCCACGCTACTTGTACCATTCTCTGAATTTCTAAGCCACCAGGATCTTGAATGCCACAGGGTGCCTCCAAGAACAGGTCTGCTGTCCCTTGTACACAGCTTTGCGCCTATTGTAAACCTCCAGCTTTCACAGAAGACACACTAAACTTACTTTTCCAATTTCTCAGCAGCTCCTGAACGTGATAGTCCTTGGAAACAGCAGATGTCTAGTGATGAACTTCAGCAGAATTTGGGCCTCAGACTCTAATTTATTAATAATACTTAAGTCTCTGCATCTCTCCAGGTAATAAAACTAGACTTCTAATGTTCAGTTCAAGCACAATGTAAACCCAAGGGACGTATAACTCAAGGGTGACTATGAAGCCACTCGTCCAAGAGATTTTTCCCTATTTGTGGGGGACACATTTAGTGTAAAGTAGAGAAGAATGACTTGTTTCAGACTGAAGATGAATATATTCAACATCTACCTAATATAACAGGGAAAATAAATGAGAAAACCAAATTAACCTTGCCCCAAAAAATCAATTTACAAAATTTTAAAGCAGAATTTCTCTGACAGTGAAAACTGGTAAACTTTGGAATGAGTTATCTCTTTAAGAGGTTTTTTAAAAATATTACTTAAGATTGCCAATTTCTTAGGATGTTTCTAGCTAAAGCATTCTTTCAGCAGGAAGATGGTGGATGATATCTCAAGATTCCATTTAACTCCAAGATGGTGTGATAATTAAAATATTTTTCTAGCATGAAACCATATTTTCTTTTTAGAAATTCAGGTGAACAAATGACTATTATTTAACATATCAACTCCAGCCAACTTAAAAGCTGAATAATCAATTCTAATTTAAGTAAGATGGATCATGTATTAATCTAGGTTCAAAACTGCTTTGAAGAATAGAAAAGAAAATTTAAAAAAATATATGCCATCTCCCCCTGGAGTTATTGGAAACAACAACTATAAGGTTAGTCAGGAATTAAGGGAGCTTAATTTGAAGGTTGCTATAGCTTGAAGTGGGCAGAAAGACTAAGAGGCAAAAAGGGAAAGTTGCTGGTGAGTAGGAGCAAGTCATGAAAGAAGTGATTAAAATTAACAATTCAAATGTAGCTGGAAACTAAAGCTGTGTTATAGAACTCTCCCCATGAATGCCAAGGACTTGGCAGGCAATGGTTACAGAGATACTTAGCACTCAATTTGACAACAGGCTAACACATAATCTATTTTAAAAGAGAAGACCAGAAATGAAATTGATGATGCCAATGGCTTGTATTATCAAGTACTGACACCCACTCTTTCCTGCCCAGCCCATATAGCCATCCCTAGCAAGTATGCCTGAGCCAGACACCACATTCAGACCCGTGGCTCCTTGCTGTCTATACTCCAGGCCCCAAATAACTGGTTTCTTTATCCAATCACACTGAATAAGAGGGAATGTTGTCTAGCAACCATAGCAGAGGATCCCCAGGCACACCCTGGGGAAATGTATTGGGAATATCAATGGAAAAGAACTATCCCCCAGCAAAGATTTGATCTTTTTTCTACCGAGTTCCTTATTTCTCTCAGAAAACTGCTTCTTGTTATATAATGCTTTGGGTAGGACACTCACAACTTCTCTCTAGCGCCATGCCAGAATGTTCAAAAAATAAAACCTACTTCAATTCCATGTTTACAAAAGAAAGAGACATGTACAAATTCATACCGTAAGCTGGGCTCATAGCCACATTATAAAAGTCATATTCAACCTGTCTGCATTTTATCAAACCATGAATCATTTCTACACTGACCCCCCAAGACTCTTGTGCTCTGGCCAGGGGGCATTTCAAGTGTGTGGCCATCAAGTGCCATGAATAACAGAGAATGTAGGATAAGCAGCTTCTAAATCAAATCTGTACTCTTGAAAATAAACACATTTCCAAGTGACATAATTACAACAATATGCAACTCTTGGTTTGAAAATTAATATAAGATTAAGGGTTTTTAAAAAGGGATCAAGAAGGAAGTATAAACAAGAATAACATCATATTGTTCTGTATCAGTTTCTGCCCGTATGTAATAAGGCTAGCTGGTGTGAAGTAAGGCAATGGACAGATAAAAATAAAGAAGATTAAAGGTCCTCACGGATAATAAAATAAATTATGGAAGATAAATTACATCATACTCAAACTGAAAAACCCAAACACAAACAGATAATTCAAGTTGAATCCAAACCTTCAAAACCAAAGTATATCATAGGGTTTTTTAAATACATCTAATGATTTTATTGAGATATAACTCACAAACCATAAAATTCACCCTTTTAAAGTAGGTAATTCAGTGTGTTTTAATATACTCACAGAGTTGTGCAATCATCATCAATGCCTAAGCCCAGAACATTTTCATTACCCCCAAAAGACACTCCATACTCATTAGTTGTCACTGCCATTCTTCTCTCTCTCCAGATCCTGGAAGCCACTAATCCATTTTCTGTCTCTATAGATTTGCCTATTCTGGGCATTTCATACAAATGGAATCATACAATATGTAGCTGTTTGTGACTTGCCTCTTTCACTTAACATAAGGTTCATCCATATTACAGCACATGTTCCTTTTCATTGCCAAATATTATTCCATTGTCTGGATATACCTCATTTGTTTATGCATTGATCAGTTGATAAACATTTGAGTTGTTTCCACTTTTTGGCTATTATGCATAATACTGCTATGAATATTCATATATAAGTTTTTGTACGTGTTGATACATGTTTATAATCATAAACATGTTTTGGACATGTTTATAATTCTCTTGGGCATATGCCTACGTGTGGAATTGCTGGGTTATACGGTAACTCTACATTTAACTTTTTGAGAAATGCCAAACTGTTTTCCAAAGTGGTTGCATCATTTTACATTCCCACCAACAATGAGTGTTTCAATCCCAACATCCTGACCCATACTTTTATTGCCTGTCTTTTTTATTATAGCCAACCTAGCGGTAGGAAGTGGTATCTCATCATGGTTTTGATTTGTATTTCACCAATGATCAATGCTATTGAGCATCCTTTCATGTGCTTATTTATCGTCTGTATATCTTCTTTGGAAAAACGTCTATTCAAATCGCTTATCTGTTTTAAATTGGGTTGTCTTTTTATTGTTGTTATAAGAGTTCTTTACGTTTTTCTGGATACTAGACCCTTATCAGATTTACGATGTGCAATTATTTTCTTCCATTCTGTGGGTTGTCTTTTCACTTTCTTGATGGTGTACTTTGAAGCATAAAAGTTTTTAATTTTGATGAAGTCCAATGTATTTAGTTGTGATTTGATTACTTATGCTTTTGGTGTCATATCTAAGAAACCAGTGTGTTGTGAGGGCATGAAGATTTACACCTATGTTTTCTTCTAAGAGTTTTACAGTCCTAGATCTTACAATTAAGTGTCTGATCCATGTAGTATATGGTGTGAAGTAGGGATTCAACTTTATTGTTTTGCATGTGGCTGCCCAGTTGTCCCCGTATTATTTATTGAGGAGACTATTCTTTCCTCCCCTGAACTGTCTTGGCATCCTTGTATTGACCATAAATGAAAGAATTTACTTTTGGACTCTCAATTCTAATCCATTGATCTGTATTTCTATCCTATGCCAGCACCACATTATCTGGGTTATTGTAGCTTTGCGGTGAGCTTTGAAATTGGAAAATGTGAATCCTCCAACTCTGTTCTTTTTTAAGATTGCTTTGGCTATTCTGGATCACAGTGAATTTTAGGATCAGCTGAGGTTTTGATAGGGATTGTGTTGAATCTGTAGATCAATCTGGGGAGTATTTCTATCTTAACAATATTAAGTCTCCTGATCCATAAACATGGGATATCTTTCCATTTATTTAGGCTTTTTAAATTTCTTTCAACAATGTTTTGTAGTTTAGTGTACAAATCTTGCAATTTTTTTGGTTAAATTTATTCCTAAGTATTGTATTCTTTTTGATGCTCAAAGTACTACATTTTGGGTCTCTTCTAGCCTTCTTGAAGCACCAAGGTTAAAAAGAAATAATTATTTATGGACTTCATCTCCTATCCTATATCCCTGTCAGCTTGACAATATCCATAGTCGAGCATGTTCAAACCAATCTCAGATGTTTATAAACATCTTTAATGAAGAAGGAAATAGTACTGATCTACCATGAGGCAGCAGAATACAAACTGAAATGAAATAAAACAGGTTCAGACTAAAACTTGGTCACTTACAGGCTACAGAATGCTGGAAAATTTGTTTTCGTTCTCAAGACTTAGCTTTCTCATTGATAAAACTAAGATAATCTCTACCTTGCAGGATTTTATGTAGATTAGAAACAATACATGAGGAGCCGGCCCAGTGGTGCAGTGGTTAAGTTCACACGTATCACTTCGGCTGCCCAGGGTTCGTCAGTTCAGATCCTGGGTGTGGACATGGCACCGCTCCGCAACCCATGCTGTGGTAGGCGTCCCACATATAAAGTAGAGGAAGATGGGCACAGATGTTAGCTCAGGGCCAGCCTTCCTCAGCAAAAAGAGGAGGATTGGCAGTAGTCAGCTCAGGGCTAATCTTCCTCAAAAAAAAAAAAAAAAAAAAGAAAGAAAGAAAAGAAACAACACATGAAACACAAGCTTCTTTGGGGCTTTCTCTTATTTACTATTATATCCTCGGTCCCTAGATCAAGTCTGGGGTATAGAAAGCACTCAATAAATATTTGTTAAATGAATTAACAAAATGTCTAATGTATTATCTAGCAAAAATAAGGGCCTAATAAATGGCAGCAATAGTTACTACTGTCATCATCGTCATCATGAGATTGTCAACACTAGCATAAATAACCTAATGCTCCAATAAAGTAATAAGTAAACCATATTATAGTGGTACCATAACCTGAATGAAGTGGGAGTACAATTAAGTTTAGCCAGAGGTAAGGCAAGTCTGGTCAGAACAAAGGAAAACTTCAATAACTCCAAGATGGCAGTTCATCTGTAAATTCCACTTTGCTCACTTGCTATTGTTGAATGTAGGAGAGGCTGAAAAATGCTGCACCAGAGAGCAGGAAATGTTCAAGGTTTGATACAACTGGAAATAAAAATTCTACCATGTCTATATTATACTGATTATAATAACATAAACACATTAACAGTGCTAAGAAGGTACTCTAATTTTTCGAAAACAGAATAGAATGTTCTTTAGGTTCTTATTTAAAGTTCTTTGTTTCAAAAAAGAAAGAAAGGAAAGTAGAAAAGATAAAAATAAAAAGAACCCCTCAAATATGCCAGGCTGGAAACATCTAGTTT